CACTTGTCAGCTCCGAATGGTCAGGTTCTGCGTGGTAGAAATGGGCCGCCGCCCTGGGGGCGGAATTCTGCCGTACCTGGTTCCACGCCTGCCTGCTACGATTCTGGGTGCACTCCCGAGACATATGCCCCCACTGCCGGCAGGTATGGCATTGTATGTTGGCCCTGCCATTGTAGCGGGCTGGCGGTGGGGGGTTTCCTGGTGGTGGCCTGAAGGGGGTAGAGTTGGCGGGTGTGGAGCTGGCTGGGTGCTGTTGTATTGGCGGTCTCAGGGGACCCCTGTTGGTGAGCCCATGGTGTCTCCGGGCGTCAAAGTGTTCGTCTGCCAATCGGGCGGCTGCTGTGAGGTTGAGAGGTTTTCGGTCCCTTACCCACTCCTGTGCCTCTGGTGACAGACCGTTGAAGAATTGCTCCAGCAAGATGAGTTGGCGCAGTTCCTCCATGGTGGTGGCTTGACTTGCCTGAATCCACCCTTGTGAAGCTTGGTCCAGCTTATGCGCCCATTCTGCGTGGGAATCTCTGTCGGGCTTTTTCAATCCCCGAAATTTCCGTCGGTATGCCTCTGGGGTTATGGCATATCTTTCTAGGATTGCTCTTTTTACTTTAAAGTAGTCTTTGCTGTCCTCTCTGGGCACAGCGCGGTAAGCCTCTGCTGCTCGTCCTGCCAACTTGCCTGCCAGTAAGGGTACCCACATGGTCGGTTCCAGGTCGTGCAGGTCGCATAGCCTCTCGAAATCCTGCAGATATCCGTCTATCTCATCCTTCTCCTCGCAGAATGTTTTAAATGCCTGGTACGGTATTTTCTGCTTTGTTGGAGGGCAGAATGAGTTGACGATGGATTCCGCCCTGGATGGTGACCTCTGGGGTTGCTGTGCCATAATGTAGTCCTGGACGTCGGCCATTAGCACGGTTAAAATGTCCAGGGTTACTGGCTGTGGTACAAATTCCAGCCGGGTTCTCAGTTCCCTCTGGTATGGTGTTTCCTCTCTGGCAGGTGGGGGTGGACTGCTGTGTGCCTGGTCGCCCTCCATTAGCTCTGCAATCAGTACTGCCTTCGATTTGTTGCTAGCGCTTCTCCCTCTAGCCTCCAGCAGTTCCTTTAGCGTCTGTCTCTTTAACGCCGTGTAATCAGTCCCCATTCACTGATCGCTTTCGTCTGCTTGTTTCATACGAATTGCCTTTCCGTTCGGTAGTTCCTTTCATTCGAATGCGCTGTATTCGGCTGTAGAGTTGGATCCCATCGCTGCCACCAATTGTAGCGGAACGCCAATATAAAATCCACGAATTCCGCTGGTCCAGAAACGAATCCACAGTCAAGCGCTGAAAACACCAAGGCAATATCCCCAACCTCCCAATAACCGGACGAGACACAGTTTTGGGAGTCAACTGACAATCCTTTAATCGGCACGACAATTTATACAAGTCCCCATGCAAGGTGTTTCCTGAGTCCTTTCCCAGGGCACTCCCAGAGGGGACTACATGGGGGACTTACAGTATAACATATTTCTCCCATCAGGCACTGCTGCACGAGAGGGATCATCCTCCCAGAATGCACCGTAAAGGGGATTATCCCCTCGTGCAGCAGAACTGGCAATTCATATAAAAATACATAACTTTTAAAATATACGGTGGATTTACACGAATGGACGTTCGGTAGTTAGCTGGGGTCTGGGCGCATCATTCGTGAGATTGCCGCTCAGATCCCAGCCAAAATAACCGAACGCCGCACAGAAAACACATTTCTTTCAAAACCTACAAAAAGGACCGATTGCTTTTCGTGAACCTGGTCCTGAAACTCCCGAACGTCTGGGAGGCTCAGCGGTGTTCGTGCCGTCGAATAACCATTGGTAATGGTATGCGTTCGACGACACGGACCCGCTGACGAACAAGGGATCCAAGATGGCCGACCGCCGCATGGTCGGTAGTCGAACGACGGCCACCCAGGGAGCCTCTAATAACCGATTGCAACAATGTTGCAATCGGTTAACTAGCGCCACACGCCTCTAAGTGTGTGGGCTATTGGAGGGTATCGCGTTCGGTTCACGAATGGCTTTCTAAAGTGCCGTTCGTGAAACGAAGGAAAATCCCCATACAAAACCGCCATTTGCATTCGGCGGAAACAGCAGTACAGGTAACACAGAAAATACATTAACATATACATAAGTATAAAGCGCATATCTCGCCCGACCTATTGGCAACCCTTAAAGGCCCAGTCTCTAGTTATTGTCCAAGTGGCTAGGTTTGCCACACAATAGTACTAAACACACCACTCACTCACTGGTGTCACAATAGCTTGGATTTAAAAACAAATTTTTTTTTTCACTGTTATAGATTGAATAGCAGTTAGTTATCTTCAAGCAGGTGTGTCAGCCCTACAGCGTGTACTCTGCCAGTACGCTGCCACCTCCTCTACTCCTCCTACTCCATCCTCTTCCATAACCTCCTCGGCTTAGTCCTCTTCTGCTGCTGCGTCTTGCTCCACATCAACGGATAGGGGGCGTAACAGTGATTAGACTGATAACAATAGTACTAAACACACCACTCACTCACTGGTGTCACAATAGCTTGGATTTAAAAACAAAATTTTTTTCACTGTTATAGATTGAATAGCAGTTAGTTATCTTCAAGCAGGTGTGTCAGCCCTACAGTGTACTCTGCCTATGCGCTGCCACCTCCTCTACTCCTCCTCCATCCTCTTCCATAACCTCCTCGACTGAGTCCTGTTCTGCTGCTGCGTCTTGCTCCACATCAACGGATAGGGGGCGTAACAGTGATTAAACTGATAACAATAGTACTAAACACACCACTCACTCACTGGTGGCACATTAGATTGCACGCGCAGTGCCACAAATTTGTTGTGATCTGTGAGTAAGGTAAACGGTTGTCCATACAAGTAGGTTGCAGCTTTTTGAGGCCCACACCACCGCCATGCACTCCTTTTCAATGGCAGTGAATATACTTCGCTGTGCAAAGTTCTGACAGATAAGCCCGGGTTGCTAGCCACCATCTGCTCCGACTTGGCTCAATACTGCTCCCAATCCAAGCATAGAAGCGTCTGTATGGACGAGAAAGTGTTTAGTTGGATCAGGAGAAGAAAGTACAGGTGATTTAATGAGCGCCGTCTTGAGCTGTTGGAAGGCCTGTTCACATTCTGGGGCCCATACTGCTATCTTGGGGAGGTTTTTACACGTTCCTATATGGCACTTACTGGGCTTTAGGGTCAGTCCGGACTCCCTAATCCGGTCTATTACGGCTCCTATGTGGGTCAGGTGTTCGGGCCGGGAGCTGCTAAAAATGTCTATACCATCCAAGTAGGTGTGTATCAGTGTGTATTAGGGATCCTTAGGTTGAGTGTCAGTATATCACCAAAGTGACCCTATGTTGGGGAGTAACATTCCCTATTCTGATCTGTATCAGTGTGTATCAGGGATCCTTAGGACAGGTGTCAATCCATATCTGCCAAGTGACCCTATGTTGAGGTAACATTCCCTATTCTGATCTGTGTCAGTGTGTATCAGGGGCTCTGAGGACAGGTGTCAATCCATATCTGCCAAGTGACCCTATGTTGGGGTAACATTCACTATTCTGCTCTGTGTCAGTGTGTATCAGGGATCCTTAGGACAGGTGTCAATCCATATCTGCCAAGTGACCCGATGTTGGGGTAACATTCCCTATTCCGATCTGTGTCAGTGTGTATCAGGGGCTCTGAGGACAGGTGTCAATCCATATCTGCCAAGTGACCCTATGTAAAAAAGGCCTGATGAGATGAGCTGCCTTGGGCTAAAAATGGTCCACACGCTGCTGTATTTTTAGCTCTGAATGCCGGTTGACTTGCGTGACTTATCCGCCACCAACTAGGGTTCAAGCCGCCAGTGTGTACTTTATAAATGGCTTTATAAAGCAGTGTGTACTTTATAAATGGCTCCACCTGCCACCCGTACAACAACACAGTCTCCAGTTAGGAGGACCAACCAAGCATCTTCTTCCATCTGCCTGTTACAGAAATTACTGCCGTGTACACGACCACTGATAGGAGGCAATTATTAAACTGATAAAAATAGTACTAAACACACCACTCCTATCTGGTGTCACATTAGCTTGACCGCGCAGTGCCCCAAATTTGCAGTAAGAGGACCGACCAAGCCTCTTCTTCCATCTCCCTGTTACAAAAATCAATGCCGTGTACACGTCCACTGATAGGAGACGCGGAAGGTATTAAACTGATCAGAACAATACTAAACACACCACTCCTTTTTTTTGGTGAGGCTTTACAGGACAGAGTGCTTCTCCACGGGACATGTTAACTCACGGGCAGCTGGCTCATCAAGGAACCACAGCAGCTTTCCATGTACAGGTAAGACACGTGCAGCGGTAAGGGTTCAGGCTCTTCTTCCTGGAGGATATGCTGCAAGCCTGTTGAACGAGGTGACCTTGCTCGGGTCCCAGGTGTACGGTTCCTAAAATGGCTGCCATATACACGTCCACTGATAGGAGACGCGGAAGGTATTAAACTGATCAGAACAATACTAAACACACCACAAATAAGGTTTCTCTCCTGTATGGCTCCTCAAATGATGCTTAAGATTAGAAGCGGCTGAAAAGCATTTCTCACACTCCGAACAAAAATATATTTTTTTAACATTCTCTCCACTTTGAACGAAATGACGTTTGGGAAGAGATTAACATAATTAAACACAGGCAGTAAAAATACAGTTTTTAGCCATACCCTGTAACTTTAAAACTACACATCCCATCTTCATAATTACATATTTGGAATCAGCACACTTAAAACATAAACATAACCAAAAATCAGCCAAATCCATCCAGGGGTTAAAAAGTTAGCTGGAGGTCCCTTTATGACCGACCGCAAGCACATTTTCCTGCCCAAAACAGTTCCATAGATTTGGGCTGTGAGGTCGCTCTATTTCAGGCTGAAAAAAAGACTAAGTCCCATCGCCGAATGGGACTTAGTCTCTGCAGCTGAAATAATTTCCCATTTACTGAACCAAGTGGGAAATAGCAAGGCAGGCACAAAGGGTTTGCACCAGGTCTGGGGACACAGGGGACACCGTCTTAAAGGGGCCGTGTCCCCAACAAGCCTGGGGACACGGCCTTAAAGGGGCAGTGTCCCAATCTTCCTGATGTCCCAAAAAAGGTGTTTAAAGGGCCAGCACCAGTCACATAAAGAGTCCATAAGCCCCAATATGCCCACCGACAGTCTTAAAGGGCCATACACACCAAATAAAAGTGCATACATTTTCACAATCTCCCAGGGGCCATAGTCATGCGGGAGGAGGCTGGCAAATAGGCTTCTCCACAACCCAGGGAAGCAGGGCAATTTGCCATTTAAAGGGCCCGTTACAAATAGCAGTTTGTAACAAGGTGTCAATCCATATCTGCCAAGTGACCCGATGTAGGGGACCAGTCCCTATTCTGCTCTGTGTCAGTGTGTACCAGGGAACCTTAGGACAGGTGTCAATCCATATCTGCCAAGTGACCCGATGTAGGGGGAACAGTCCCTATTCTGCTCTGTGTCAGTGTGTATCAGGGATCCTTAGGACAGGTGTCAATCCATATTTGCCAAGTGACCCTATGTAGGGGGACCAGTCTCTATTCTGCTCTGTGTCCGTGTGCATCAGGGGCTCTGAGGACAGGTGTCAATCCATATGTCAAGGTGTCAATATGTCATATGTCAGGTGTCAATCCATATTGATTGTGATTTAGGAATGTTAGGTGATTTCTGCCCTTTATGGATTAAAACCAGACTCTGTATCAACTGTGTAATTTTCCATGGGAGTTTTGCAATGGATCCCCCTCCGGCATGCCACAGTCCAGGTGTTAGTCCCCTTGAAACAACTTTTCCATCCCTATTGTGGCCAGAAAGAGTCCCTGTGTGTTTTAAAATTCGCCTCCCCATTGAAGTCAATGGCGTTTCGGGCGGTTCGCCGGTTCGCGAACATTTGCGGAAGTTCGCGTTCGCCGTTCGCGAACCGAAAATTTCGGGTTCGCGACATCACTACCCAGCATTTAAAAAAATAAAAACTACATGTTTGCATTCAAACACCAATACAAACACACCCCTACATTTACACAAACATGCTCCATACAAAAACATGCTTCCATTCAAACACACAAACACAACTCAGTAAGCATGGGAAAATGGTTCCGCTACTGCGTTGGGTAGTGGAGATCGTGATTGCATGTCAGAGAGTGGGGGTCAGGGGGCCCCATCAATGCTTGCCCAGGGCCCAATCAATATTAAAGACGGCCCTGGGTGCGGAGCGGAAGGGCACTGTTCAAGCCTGCATGTTAGAACAGAATTAACCCCTTGTGATTTAAAAGCAATAGATAAGTGATTCACATTGTACCCGGAAAAAAGCTCAAAATATTAAAGAATAGTACCTTTAGCCTGGGAGGGGGGGAGCCGGGTTTCCATGGAGGAGAGAGCGGTTCTGCCTTCCCTGGTGGTCCTAGTGGTGAGAGTGAACTCTAGCCCGCAGGCCCACTTGTAACTGCCTGTGGGCCGGTGAGGGAGATCTTTGATCTCCCCACCGGCCCATGAAGGCAATCAGCAGGGCCGGCGATGGAGAAGGCCGGCGATGGCCACTCCGGGCC